ACAGGTCGGCTCAGTAGATCAGAGCCCCGTCCACAGCGCTGCTTCTGTGTGTCTGGCGGTGTTTTTCCACCCACCTTGTGCTGCCTTATGGTAGTGCCAGCTCGGACTGGGCACCATGTCCAGGTTTGACCCTGGCTGCACCCCCTCGCAGCTGCGCCCGAGGCGATTGTCTCACTCACCACCCTTCCTATGGTCCTGCTTAAAGCAGGCATTCTATGATAAGTCTCTCGCTTTCCAACATGCCTCAATTAGACTGCACCACTTAGCTCTTGACTATGCTCATCGCGATCTTAAAAGAGAATTATGAGGTGAGTGATTTTTACTCAGCCTCATAATCTGAGCCGACCTGTGACAATAAAACTGTCACAGGTCGGCTGAGTAGATCGGGAAGTGAGCGAACACATACCGTCGCTCGCTCACTTCTCGATCCTGTGCCGGCAGAGAACCGTGACAGGGGAGGGACTGGCTTCCCCCCTCACCTGTCCAATCCTCCAGTGCTGACTGGCGGAACGGACGGGGGGAGGGGGCGGGTACAGCTGGCTTTGCCTCTAGATAGTCAGAGCCAGCTGTCGCAGCGGGGTGGATCCAGACATAATTGTCAAGATCCGTTCCAGCTGCGGCGTCTCAGTATATAATGAGCTTAGGGTAACGGGAGGACGCTAGTTTGTGTCCTCCCGTTACCCTTAGGAGAACTGTGGGGAAAAGCCATAACCCCATAGTTCTCCTTTAATACGCGATCAGGGAAATCGCTTGCCTCATTGAGTTCTTCTTTTCACATCGCAACCCCTGAAACATTCCGGTATTTACAGGTCAAACACACTGGAACACGCAGTACCACAAGGCACTGTGGTACTGCGTGTTCCAGTGTTGGCAATCACACTGCGGGCGGGGGGAGCATTTCGAGTGCCGCTGACATGATTGGCACAGCAACAACGCACAACCCACAGCGGTAGGTCCACCCTCCATCCAGCATGACACACCCCTACCTCTGGACTCTTCTCAGCTGTCAAACTAGGAGACGCGGCTGTGTTAACGCAGCAACGGCAGTGTCTGGTGGGCCTGGTAGGCGGGCGACACTGCCGTCGCCGCTTTATCACAGCCGCGTCTCCTTCCATGCGGGCTGGAAGGGGCACAGGGGGTGGGATGCCGCCAAGGGGACGCCTACCTGTATGGTCAGTCCTCCCGACTACAAATACATCATATTGCAAATCAGCTTAATTAAAAGGAGAACTATGAGGTGAGTGCTTTTCACTCACCTCATAGTTCTAGCCGACCTGTGACAATGAGACTGTCACAAGTCGGCTCAGTAGATCGGGAGGTGAGCGAACACATACCGGCGTTCGCTCACCTCTCGATCACCTCTGGATTTCCCCTTCGATCCGCCAGCACTGACTGGCGGAACGGACGGGGGAGGGGGCGGGTACAGCTGGCTCTGCCTCTAGATGCAGCTCGCGGTATACAGAGCTAGTTTGTGTCCTCCCGTTACCCTAAGGAGAACTATGGGGAAAAGACTTAACCCCATAGTTCTCCTTTAAAACCACCAGATTCAACACTCTGCACCCCCTCTCCAGGGAGAGTCTGGTGCAGCCTGCACCGTGCAGGAGACGAGCCGTAGTCTTCTCCGTGCCATGCCCGTATGGTCAGTCCGCCCCTGGGCCAATCAGCGGGAGAAGAGATCAGAATGAGGCAGATGACTATTCTGTGACATCTGCTCTATTCTGACCTCTTCTCCCGCTGATTGGTCGATTGGATGATGACAGGCTTCCTCACCAGTCACTCCTGACTGGTGAGGAAGCCTGTCAATCATCCAGTCAGTGGGAGAAGACGTCAGAATGGAGCAGATGACAGAGGAGGTCGCGGCCATCTTGCTTAATTGAAGACGCGATGGAGGTCCTGTGTGCGGCGGATTCGGGTCCCTGAAGATGGCGGACGCGGCACAGGTACTCGTTTTATGTATTGGAGTATTTGCACGTGTACGAGTACTCATGCAAATACTTGGTATCGCCGCCGATAGCGATGCTGGTATCGGTGCATCCCTAGTTTCATGTATTTAAAATCTGAATTGAAAACCACCAAACCATTATAATAAAATAACCAAACTTATTTAAAATTTCAGAAAATACAAGTCATCAGTTTAGCCATGAATATTGGCCCGAGAATCATTGCTCTCACTCGGGTGCGGCGATACCCGACATGTGTAGGACAATCGTCGCTTTCATACGTAGATGCACCTGACTCAAGTTTCCGTTTGTTATAAATTTTGATATTTTTTTTATTTTATTTCATTCAACTTTTTTTTACTTCACTTCATTTCTATCACATGGGGGACTCATTAGCCCACTATGTGATAGCACATTGGAGGTGACAGGTTCTCTTTCAGGTGATATGAAGGGTCTATTAGACCCATAGTGTCACCTTTCCACTTCAATAGCTTTAGCCACGGAATGTAAATACAGCATGCAGTGGCTGGGGGCAATAGCCAGTCTGCTATTGGCTATTTCAAATTGCAATAGCCAATAGCAGGCTGGCTATTACACCCGCCCATTGTCTGCTGTCAATCAGCAGAGGAGGGACCTGAAGGAGAAAGTAGCTTTTGCTCCCAGCCCCTGGATGGGAGACTTGTCGCCGGCTTTCTACCACCAGCTGCAAGTCTCCCATTCAGCAGAAGAGAAGGGAAGGGGGCGCAGCGGGGGCACGAGGGCGATAGTGGACACAGCGGGGGCACAAGGGCAGTGGTGGATACAGTGGGGGGACCCGAGGGCAGTGGTGGATACAGCGGGGGGCACAAGGGCGGTGGCGGATACAGTGGGGGGCACCGGGGGGAGCATGGTGGCTGGCAGAAGTATCTCCTCCACACTGGGCGCCAGCTGCAGCAGCCTGTGTCTCCTTCGATCCCCGCTGCCTCTGCTGATACATGAAGGGGAGATCAGCGGGGATCGAAGGGGGACACAGAGAGCAGCGGCTCCCAGTGAGAACGGGGAGCAGAGCGGTGGCAGCGGGTGAGGCTGGCAGGAGATTGAGGTACGGAGCTCTCCTCACCGCTGGGCACAGTCTACAAGGGTCAATTGTTAATTGAAGAGATTTTGCTGCGATGCTGGTTGTAAGGCACTTTATGATTTTTCGATGAGGCTCAATAAAGATTTTGATAAGCGTTTGAACCCCTGGTCAAAGCTGTGGCTTCTTTGGCAGTTTTGTCTTTAACCAAACTGCACTTTCTTGAGTCTGTATACCCCTCCCATCCCTGCTGGTGGCAGCAGGTATCAGAGAGGACACAGAGCCCATGAAACAAGCAGAATCAACAAAAACGATTAGTTGTTGCAGCCCTACTTCTGACGAAATAATTTTACATTGTCTGTTATGGTATTTAAGGTATAGACAAAATAAAGTGTGAATTTTAGGAATATTATTGCAGCTGAACTCCATCCATGCAAATACTCTTTATCCAGTTATGCCTTTATAATAATTTTCTGCAATTCCCTAAACAGCACAATTTAGAGAAGTAACACCAGCAGTATTAACCAATCAGATCCTACTTCATAGATCTCAACTATTTTTTATGAATATTTGGGAGTCTCTAAATATTGCTAAATATTGTATGGTAATGAAGTTAGAAATCCTCCTGGGAAAAAAACACAGCAAAAAATATACCACATCAGCAAGGCCTCATCTATTAGTGTTGCTCATAGCACAGTAGCTAATCAGATTTTCTGTTTCAAAGTATTATTTTTTTGTAGAAAAATAGAACAAAATATGTACATACACATAAATCAAACTGTTTACTGGTTGCTTTTTATACGCATAAAACGCATCAGTAAACAGTTTGATTCATGTGTATGTACATGTTTTTTTCTATGAACTACGTTGTGTGGCCCTTGATAGATTAGAAAGAATGGAACCCATCCTGATACTGTAACATAAGAAAAGGACCACCAAAACATGCGATAAGAACCTAGTAATATTTACATAGTTAGTTTAACTTTGCCAAATAGGCATACTATGAAGATGTGTAAAAGAACAAAGAAAGAAGAAAATAAAGATCAGAAAAGATCATAGAAAACCAGAGAGTACAGGTCTTACAGATATGCCACCGCCCATCAATGCTCCAAACAAGCTAAGTAATAAGGAATACCAAGTATCCTTCATTTCCCCATAGCATATTTAAATGCCTCGAAAGCTATATAAAGTAATTTCAGGGTGTTGACGCAACATCCAGGGCTCCCAGATACACAAAAACTCGGGCTGTCTATCCACCAGAATACTGCTAATCAGATTTTCAATTATTTTCTAGTGGAAGAAGAAATTATTGCTATGGACAACACAAAATTATTTAGATATATTGACCCAATAGCCCATACTTAAGGGTCATCCCTAAATAGTGAGGGATATATTATACTTTATCACAATAAGTACTCCATGCCTAGCTAGCAACATTTGTTAATAATCACAAAACACAAGTAAAAACCATCAGATATGCCTTAGTCCCTATAACGGAGTAAAACAAAAAGCAAGTTAAATGTTGTATTAGGTAACTGTAGTTATTCTAATTAATTTTTGATTAAGACTGGCCATTAATGAATTGATCTTTGCAAGCAATGCAACGGATTTTAACATATCTTTTACTATTTGGGGTTGCTCCTGATAAGGAATACCTGTAAGTGTTGGAACAACACATGTCAGGTGTTCTAAATGCTCTGTCATTGCACAATAATCTGAATCAGGATCAAAGCTTAGGGGATTTTGGTAGCAACAGGTCTTCCACCTTTTAGCATTGTCTGCAAGAGGTATCAGCCCTAGGGGCTCATGGTCCATAAGACCTGTTAGTTTTCAGCTGTACTAAAGGAATCTTGACACCAACATTCTTCGAAGGCACAATTCTTTCTGTAACATGAACTGAATCCTACTATGAATGTGCATGTCATATGCACCAACACAATCCTTATAAACATACCCAACTAAATTTCAAAACACAGAAATTATGAAGAAAATGATGATGGACTTACCAGTGTAGACATAGATCCATTGGGATGGTAGGGATCAGACAGCATAAGGAACGGGTAACCGGAGTATCCTGAACCTTTATACATTGGTTCTTCCTGGTGTTTAATACCTAAGTAATGTAGATACATTTTAAAAATTACTTTTTCAATTAGAATACATAATTTCCTTATTATAAAAAAATGATCAATTTGATAGTTGTTACTTTTATTGGTAAGTTGGAATTTACTGGTTTCTTACCTATTTGGAACACTGGACATAGTTATTAGTGTTCCTGCTTTGTCAGGGTAAGATTGTGTAGGTAAACCACACCCAACAAAGCAGTAATGATTTTTATTTTCACTCCCTACTATCCATCCATTTAGAGACTCTCCTTTGTTTTTAATCACTTAGTTTTTCTGTGCAACTCAGGCCTCATTTATTTGAGCTGTCTATTCTCTGATCACAAACAAGTGACTAACAACAATGACTAATCCCACAAGATGTCAATTCAAGGTAAAACAAAAAATCAAAACATGGGTACAGTAGCGCTAGATGCTTTTGTAACCTTTGAGGTGAAAGTATTCTGACAAATGTTTTCACCTGTGGTCTATTAGCACCACTCCTATGACCGACTACACAAATACTTGGAACGGAAATGTCACATAACTTTAATTTGCAAGTGCTGCAACAGGCCACAACAACAGTTTTATATTATCGCATTTTAACACCCACCCAAATCTGAAAATAAACACCTGACCAAGATAACTCAAGAATATAGTTGCATGACCAATGTACCATAATGCTTACATGCCTGCAGGTTTTTTAATTTGTAATTTAATACCTCAGTAGATAAAGTCTATATTGTCACAGACATTAGAAAGTGGGTGTACATTAGGAAATTATTCAGCTGCTGAACGTCTCAGCCGTCCTACACAAGTGTCTGTGTTCTCTACAGACACGCAAAGATGTGTCAATGACGTCTGCTGTAGCCCAAGGTCATACATAGACATGTTCACCAAGTTGAGGAGCAAGTGAAAATCACCCATTGCACCTAAACACTGATAGAATGTTCACATATATACAACTGTAGGTGCATTACAATTAACCGCCTGCCCTCCTATTGAGTCTACTAAAACCCATAAGTGGACATCATATTACTATTTTATACTGTCCCCCTTGTTGGTGTAACATTTCTTGCATGGGTGAATTAGAGGCCATGTGGTTGCGCAGCCTGCAATGTCTCCCTGTAAATTCACGAAGAGATTCCAGAGCGGTGGGTAATTACATTGCTTGGCAAACATAACAAGTCACATTTTAGGGGCATTGATGTAAACTTGAGATGGGGCTTCACCTTATTGGAATGGGGCCAGTGACACAACCTGTAGTGTGCACATTACACAAAGATTTTCATTCTGAGTGGACTTAATATTTTAAATGTACCTTTACTCCTTTTACTCTAAGCCAGGACAGCATTACCAATTTTTTGACAACTTGTTTTCCTACACTATGTTTTTAAGAAGCCTTAACGTTTCCCCTGCGCCCAAAAGAGAATTTTAAATACTTCCATGTGAGAATTATAGTACCAAATGAAATACTGTGCCCATACCAACCTTTCACAGTTTACTTTAGAGGGTTGCAGACTAACCCCAATGACACCAAACCAAATTTGAACATTACCAGTAGGGCACAATGGACACTTTAAAAGATTGTACAGACTTAAAACAAATCAGTAACAAATAATATTATTACATGTATTACTTTACTATCCAGCTTTTCAAAATATTACATTTCTCACAAAAGTGGGTTACACTTTTAAAAACAAAACTTTCAAGCAGAAATGCACTTAAGTTGCTACAGGAGAATTTTAGATCTGTTCTGATTTCCCATGTTGCATGTGATGCTTTGGTTATGTTAATAGACACAGTCTGCTATTAATTGCTTATCACTTTTTTAAAAAGGTCATCTTTTCTGGAAAAAACGAATATTGTGTTAATTTTCAAACTGATTGGGAGCATACAAGAATTAGCTACATATTTTTACTAATGCCTTGGACAAAATCCTGAAGTCTTAAGCAGAGGAAGTAAACTTGTTACTGGACAGGTTTAGTGCTTGTAAAGTTACATAGTTACATAGTATTTGAGGTTGAATAAAGACATTAGTCCATCAAGTCCAACCTATTAGGATCCCTGGAAATTCATTAAACGTAATACAAGTTAATGAATCCCATAATAATTTGTCCATCCCTGTATTAAATGACTAATAGTGACATATGACTAATGAACCTTTATAAAAGGTGTTATATTAAAATAGCATTTACAAATGCAGCTTATGTATAGATCTATATAGCAAAATGTAGTAAATATGGTGCAAGTAATACTAATTGACATTACCTCATTTAGTAATGAGGTGACATAATTGTGTTTGCAACTATTATGCAAAACACATCTGTATAGATCAAGGAAGTATCATCCTTTTTGTTCATTCAATTCATTCAAGTATTAACAGATTACTTAAAATAAGGCAAAAAAGTAGCAATGTGCTTTTTGTTCACTCAATTCATTAAAGAAGTTATAAGAGATTACTTAAAATAATGCAAAAAAAGTAGCAATATTCTTTAACTCTCTAGGAACAATTAACTTTCACTCCAACCATCAAAAATCTAAATTTTGATGTGGGGAATTACATAATTAGTCTTTGCCCTATTCTGTTAATCTCCAAGACTTTCCAAAACTGTAGAAATGTTCCAGGTTTAGGTACTAGAAAAACAAAAAACAAATCCGGACTAGCGAATTCAACAAAATAGAATGTGTTCCAATCCCTTAGAATTGTTCAGGTCTACTCTGTAAAAATTAACGTAACTGTACTTTAATATTTTAAACACATCACAAAACTGTTTCATGTGTATAGTCTTATTTAATAAAGCAGTGCAAACAGTAATGGAGCTGTGCAAAATATATTGCTGTTTGTAGCGATATGGGGTGGGTGGGGGGGAAGATTTAAAGCATTTTTGACACTTTTCTAGCATTATGGCCACATTAACAAATTCTGTACAAAATTCATGAAAGCTGTGTGCAACAGTTTTCTTGTCATTTCTAATATGAGCAACAAATTCAGGTAGTTCCTTTGTGTGACACTTCCACATTCCTGCACTTACCGAAGTGTCCCTTGTAGTGGGGGGTGCTTGCAGTGACTGCGGATGGCGCCGCAAATATCAGCAGAATTGTGGAAACGTCACCAGCACACCAGTCCTTTTAGGATTGCAAAAGCTTCATTTATTGAAGTTCTTTGTCATGTGACATATGACAAAGAACTCCAATAAATGAAGCTTTTGCTATCCTAAAAGGACTGGTGTGCTGGTGACGTTTCTACAATTCAATTACATGAATCTGTCACAAGTTGCGCCATTTGTTGCACAGAAGGAAGACAGATTTTTAATGAGTGGCTACAATGTTAGAAATCTGTCTTCCGTTTATGCAACAAATGGCGGAGTTATTTTTTAATAAATGTTGGTTAGGTGTATATGAATCTGTTACAGAATTGCCTCAAACAGAATCTTCTCTGTGACACAATTTATTTCAACATAGAAGAGGTCTTATTTTCCTCCACTTTCTTATGACCAATATGGCAGCATTTCCTAATATCAGAGCACATGGGAAACACCTGAATTTGTTGAACGTGTGAAATAGCAAAAAAACAGTTTTGTTGCTTTCATGAATTTAGCAACGGACTTTCTAATACAGCTGTAATGACAGAAAAGTGTCACAAATTTTTTTATGATATGTGGCCTGCAGCATTTTATCATGCATAACACCAGGACCGGTGCAAGGATTTTTGCCTACACAGGTAAAGGTGCATTTTGCGGCCCCCTCCCCCGGCGCGCACACGCGCATACAGCGGCGCAGTGCAGAATACCAGCAGCTATAGAGGAATACAACACATGCCAGCAATAGTACACTATACTATAATGTATTACTACAATGGAATCGCACTAATTAGCGTGGTTTTGTGCATTTTCAATTGCGTTTCAGCGCTGAAACGCAATTCAAAACGACCAAAATCTCCCTTTTGAAATCAGTGGTTTCCGGATCAGCGCGGAAACCGCACTGATCCGCAATTGCAATTCAATTGTGTGAATGGGGCCTAATACTGATGGGACCTGGGACCAGTGTGGGGAGAAAGAGTTAAAAACACACACACATATAAACCAGCTCAGGACCTGGAGATAGAGGGGGGGAGAGAAAGTTAAAAAAGAAAAAACACACACACACACATGTACTGCAGCTTAGGACCGGGAGACGGACAGGGGAGAAAAAAAAAAAAAAAAAACTCCACGAACACACTGCAGCTCAGGAACGGAGACAGAGGGGGAGAGAGACAACACTCATCCAAAGAGTGCACAAAAGAAAGATCTCATGGCTGTCAGACGGCAGGTACAGCCACACTGACTCCACAGTCCCACAGAGCGGCACAGCAGAGGGAACCTAGGGGCAGGGTCCAGTCCAGCTCACATGGGGTCGGAGCCCCCATGCGGCCACTTACCACTGCGATTTTCCCGCCCTCACCCCTTCAGCTCCCTCAGGCGGCCGCTTGACTTGCCTTGCGGTAGCGCTGGGCCTGCATAACACATCACTAGCAGTAGTGATGTGCGTAGGCTTGGAGATCAAGTGATGTGCGCAGGATTAGTGTGTGCATAACTGTCATTGACATCGCTCCCTCCGGGACCAATCGGTTGCGGCCGGGACATTCTCCGCAGCTACAAGTAACAAACGAGCAGAGAATGCTCCGGCCACAACTGATTGGGCCGGAATGGGGGTGTGTCACTGACAGTTTTGCATGGGCTTAGCCAAACTCAGTTCACACCAAGCCCACATACATCCCTAGAGTTTATGGGTATGCTCTAACGTTGACAGGTATGCTACAACGTTGATTACAGCAGAATGCATCAGGCTTCACCTCATCCGGCGACTGGTCCTCAGGCCCGATTCACACCTGAGTGTTTTGTAGCGTGAAGCTAAAAAAAACTCTCACTATTGAAAATGTAATTGTCTTTTATTGTGCCTGTTCACACCTGAGCACTCAAGGGCCATTTGCAAAAAGCCACTTGCTCCAAAATGTACAGGAGCTTGTAAATCGCCTGGCTACGCTCATGCTTAGGTGTGGACGCAGCCTTGGTGTTCAGCCGGCATTCACACCTGAACAGAGTGTATTTCTCTATTTTGAAGTTTTCTTGCATTTATACATGCGTAAATGTACATTTATAAATCATTTTGCAAGCATTTTTGTACATGTATCAAGCTTCAGGCATTTTGTTTTGGCCAGTGGAAAGCAGTTCTAGACGAGATCATTCTTTTCAATTGTGGCTGTTCACATTTTTGCACTCAAATGCTTGAAACTCAAAAAGTGACAAACAAAGTGAGCTTTTGTTGAAGCTGTGTTGTGCCTTTACAGGTCTCACCATTAAAGGAGAACTATGGGGTTAGGGCTTTTCCCCATAGTTCTCCTTAGGGTAACGGGAGGACACAAACTAGCGTCCTCCCGTCACCCTAGGCTCAGTATACCGCGAGCTGTAGCTCGCGGTATACTGAGCTTAGGGTGACGGGAGGACGCTAGTTTACTGAGACGCCGCAGCTGAAGCGGATCCTGACAATTATGTCTGGATCCACCCAGCTGCGTGAGTGACAGCTGGCTCTGCCTATCTAGAGGCAGAGCCAGCTGTACCCGCCCCGTCCGTTATGCCAGTCAGCGCTGGAGGATCAAAGCGGGGAGGGGGGAATCCAGCCCCTCCCCTGTCACGGCAGAGAGCCGTGACAGGATCGAGAAGTGAGCGAACGCCGGTATGTGTTCGCTCACTTCCCGATCTATTGAACCGACCTGTGACAGTCTCATTGTCACAGGTCGGCTAGAACTATGAGGTGAGTGAAAATAAACTCACCTCATAGTTCTCCTTTAAAGTCTGTGGGGCTAATGCGTGACACAGCTCCAGAAAATGTAGAAACAAGCTGTCACCAGCACACCGAAGGTATGTGTCAAAGCAAACATCTTTTATTGACGCAAATTATCACTAAAATTACATCTTTGTGACAATATGCATCAATAAAACACGTTTACTTTGACACATATCTTCAGTGTGCTGGTGACATCTTGTTTCTACATTGATCTGAACGTCATCATCCGCAGTCATTTCAGCACCATACCGAAGGGGTTTTTCGGTAAGGAGTGCGTCGGGATACCTTTTGGACAGCTCCAGAAAAAGCTCATGAATTTTTTTGAGCTGTGTCATGGGCTTATAGGCCTTTCCATTAGGCTATGGGCCAAAATGCATGACACGGCTCCAGAAAAAGCTCATGTTCCTTTTTGGGCCTAAAACTTTTTTTTTTAGAGTACATTTTTGACCCTATAGACTTTAATGGAAAGAACTGTAAGCTTCAACAAAAGCTCATGTCCTTTTTGAGTGACTGAACATACAGATGTGAGGAGCAACAATAGAAAAGAATGGTTTTGTCTTCTAGAACTGCTTTCTATTGGCCAAAACAAAAACCTTTGAAATACTCTCTGCACAGATGTGAATGTAGGGTAATAATGGAATTCTGCTGTTAAAGGGGTCCTAAAGCCTCCCGTTTTTTTGCCTATATCTTTTGCTAACAAGCAGTAGATATAGGCAAAAAAGTTGTTTTTTTTAAACAAAATGCTTAAACAGCGGTTTAGACTGACCTCATGATCGCTGCGCGCTCCCGCGGCGAGAGTCCGGAACTGTTCGTGCGGCCGCAAAGGATCTTGGGGCAGGCGCATGCGCAGTTCGAATTCTCGGCCGGGAGACGAGCGGAGACGCAAGGTAAGTCTATGGACGCGTGCACCCGCCTGCAGACACCGCTGGAACGGAAGTGCCTGTAAGCAGAGAGGAGTCAGCGCTGGATCAGAGAGCCGCCGCACCGCTGGAGGGACAGATCAAAACATGGGGAAAGAAGAGGAAGATCGGATTAAGAAACATCATTTAAGGTAAGTGCTGACATTAACATGGGAGGGAAGGAAACATTTTTTATCCTTTAATGTCACTTTAAGCATTGTCCTGTGTAGGGAAATGTATAAAAACATGTTACAAAACACTAGGAATGAATGGGGGCAAAAAGCTGGATTTTGCTTCTGTACAAGTAGTGCATAAAAATGCTTTAAAAGGACAATTACAAACATGCAAATAAGAATGCCGGGTTATTATTAAGCTCCATACACTTTTTAGGTACTGGCATGAATAGGATCAGAGGAGGAGGAAGA